TTCATACTCTTAGGTTTTTTCGGTAAAGTCACGTAGGTAAAAATAAAAATAAATAATAAAAGTAATGGAAATTATAATATTCTTTCTATTATTTTTTTATTTTTCATATAATAAAAATAAATAATGAAAATAATAGAAGTAATATTATTTCTATTTTTTATTTTATTTTATTTTTTTACCTACGTGACTTTACCGAAAAAAACCTAAGAGTGTGTACACTTTACTCTTTACTCGACGTCTGTGTTTGTACTTTCAAAGCTTTTGACGAAAACCGACGTTGTTACGGGGGAGAAACGCTTTCATTTGCCGTTGGCCAATCTGTGGTCACGACTGGATCGACACTTGCTAAGACTTGCTGTTTCACAAGAACCCGTTGATTAGAATTAATCGTCACCACCCTGTGGCTTGAGACCCCCAAGTCTACCGATGTGGATTAGGACACCGGCTACTACTATTATTATTATTCGCTCACAGGGAAGCCCATCCGCCACACACTGTCGGTGGGTAATTGGGTGCCCATTTTTTTAAAACTACGTTTGGTTTTTTTAAGCTACGTTTTTTTTTAAACTACGTTTGTTGGTGTAGACAGGGTGACAGCATCTCAAGGACTCAGAGGGCACACTGACCCAGGTGGACACCTTGGAAAGTGCCTGCCGTGCAAAGTTATTTCTGGGCGGGGAAAGAAAAAAAAACACTTTTAAAAGAAAAAGTTTACTCGTCACATCGCCGTATTCTCCGGATCACAAGACGTTCCGGAAAGGAAGACGCACTCTAGATTTGAAGCTGTCGTGACTGCAAGGATTCATACTCTTAGTTCTTTCGGTAAAGTCACGTAGGTATAAAAACAAAATTAATACAAATAAAACAATAAAAAAATTAAAATCACGACGTTTTGGAGGCAACACAAGTCTCCGTCATCAGGTGGGACCGTCACAGCCAGATTTGCTGCATCAAGTGAGGCAAGGATTCAAGATGTAAGCCATTATATGCATCAAGTGAGGCAAGGATTCAAGATGTAAGCCCTTAAATGCAAGAGCTTACATCTTGAATCCTTGCCTCACTTGATGCAGCACATCTGGCTGTGACGGTCCCACCTGATGACGGAGACTTGTGTTGCCTCCGAAACGTCGTGATTTTTTATTTTTGATTATTTTTATTTTCATTAATTTTAATTTCATTTGTTTTACCTACGTGACTTTACCGAAAGAACTAAGAGTATAAGACGCACTCCACAACTCGTCTCCGTGTCGATAATGTTCTCTACAAATACGGTCTCACACATGAACACATACCGGATTATTATTTGAACCCACCAATTTTGGCTTGAAGATACAGACGGGAATATGAACGCGGACAAAAAAAAAATCCGCATTGCTTTAATCTGAACGGCTGAGGCCACGGTTTCAACCCTTGCGAGCTGAAGGTGCATCTCTGGCGGGACTCGGTTCGGACTGCGTTACAACTCAGATTCACCCATCAGCCGCACGCTGACACGGTCACCAAAACCAGCCACGCAGGTCGTTTTTGGTCGCGCTCGACGGACCGGTGTGTGGCCATGGGTGTCTTGGCACCCCCCCCCCCCCGTTGCCCCACCCCCCCCGTTGGCACCCCCCCCCCCCCCAGAGAGGCTGGCGGGGCGTTGGAAATGTCTCGAGCGGCATTGCCGTTAAACGATTTCGCTGGGGATAAAAAAAAAAACCGGTCCCACCACATTTTCCCCGAGGGCGACAAATGTACAGAGCAACTCGAAAGCAGACGGCACAAAACGCCAACAACCCAGCGGCTCGAATTGTTTCCAGGCTGCAGAGGTGAAGCCGCGCGCGCGTTTGCCGCACATCGTTTTCTTGCGGCTTGACTCAAACAAATGGAATGGCATCGTGATGATAAACTGAAGCGGTGTCATCACCTCGTTTGTCATTCGTAGGTCGATTCGGCATCTCCGAATTTGTAATTTGGGAGTTAAAAGGTGGCAAGCTCCAGCAAGAGGTACGATAAGATGTCCCCGACGTAGGAGGCTGTTAAAATGTACCCAATCATCCTGAGCATGAAGCGAGAAACACTCACAATTTCAACGGACGGAACATTTCCAACGACGCCACGACAGCCCTCTATCTTGCGAGATAAACGCACGAGATTATGTAATTTACAGTGGACCTCCCGTTTGACCTCAACGTCTGATTTATGGAAGGTTATTGGGAAGAAAATAAAAGATCCCCCAAATTGCGCCTACGCATGACGACATCTATAGCACGAATGGCTTGTGAATATTGCATTACGATGCTGTATAAATCAATGTGAAATACATAAGCCCGCTGAGTGAGAATTGTGCAGGTGGCCCAGTTGCAACGATTCATCATTATTTCATCGCCTACGCTTGAGGGTTTTAAGACATCCAAATCGCATTCAACAAACAAACATTGTCTTAGTCCCATCTCATTGCACTTGTTAAAAGTTGTCAATAACATAATCACATTTATAAGCTCTGTCGATCTGCTGCTGGATGACAGATTGGTCAGGCAGCCGTTGTCATGGGGGAATATTTGACCAGATTTCACAACGGTGGTTGGTTGGTCGGTGAGCGTAAGAGGGAAGAGCTGCCAAGACCGGTCCAACATATAACTCACCACTGATGTACAGGAATGCCAAGGCTGAGATTCACACTCAGGCTTCAGAGCACAGTGTGCAATCCAGTGCATTGCCGCTCCCCACTATTAATAGTTGATACACACATAATATAAAACACTCCTGCTGATTCTCATGGGAAATACAAAAAAACAGCAACTTTCTTTTTTTTTACCACAGGATATTCATTTAAGCAACGTGTAAGCAATATCTGAAATACATGTTATTTACTCTCGCGTGGCACTGGGGCTGCGATTGTACAATGCATATGTACCTCCTCCGCCCCAATTTAACATTTTAGACAATTGCAGCGAATATAAACGCTCAACGGTGAATACTGTCGAGAAACAGCACAGCAAAACGAAGCCGCGTTGCAGCTGCGGGAGCGGCCGCATCATTGACGGGCTCGGATGATATCGGAGCCCCTGGGGATGCGTTATGATAAACTAATGGCCTGGAGTGGGGAGCCCGAACAACCGTGCCCCCACCCTCCAACACCCCCCCCCCCCCGTCACAAGGGAACAGGAGCCGCCAATCCGGGCCACGGCAGGTCGGACTGATGTAGAGGTCTGCAGCAATCACTGTCAGTCACATGATTTAAGTCCAGAATTAAGGCCCTCGCAAACTTAAGTGGCACGCGTAGGTAATAAACTTCGGCACATTTTTTTTTTAAAGCAAATTGAGTAATGAGCGCGGACGTGAATTAGTATCGCAATTAATAAGGCACGGCGAGCACACGGGCGGGCGCTCCCCATCGCGGCCTGCCGTGTCCTCTCCGTCAACAAGCACTCGATTCGGCGTTCGAAGGCGGTGAGAGAGGCGGAGTCCTTCCCTCGATCACCCATTAAAAACCCAACCGGCTCCGTCCGCTCCCCTCCTCTGCCTCCTCCTCCTCCTCCTCATTCCTCCCCATCGGATCTGCAGTAGCTGACGGCTCAATTTTAACCGATAGGTGACGAACACTTTTTCTGTATTCTTGGTTCTTTCGGTAAAGTCACGTAGAAGGGAAGTAATAAAATAATAAAAATAAAACATAACAAAATTATTCTCACGACGTTTCGGCCACACCACAAGCAGCCGTCTTCAGGTGGAGAACAGGTCTGTCGAGAAGGCAGAGTCTGAATGGCACGCCCCAGGCTTGGAGCGACTATTTATGTTGGGATGGAGGGGGGAGAGCGCCTTGACAAAATAATTTGCATATCAATTTAGCATATTTATGGGAAATGCAGATATGCGATTAGTAATACATTGGAGGTTTGGCGAGGGGGTTAAAGTCATTATGCCCGTGCATTATGCAGGATTAGCAGTATCAAAGGGAGGGAGTAAGGTTTTTCTGTAGTTATTTAACGTGAACCTCTACATCGTCGCCCAAGGATAGTACCAGCGAATCTCAACTGAGTCTCATGCCACCTGATTTTCAGTCGGCTCCTTGCATTGGGACATTTGGCCAATGTAATCAGAATCTTTAGATAGACTGCAGTAATCCAATGAGCCATGAAGCTCATTTTTTTACAGATGTCCAGTAGTGTTCACAGATGTCCTGTAGAGGACAAAGACCGGTTCATGTTATGTCCTGTAGGGGACATCTGTATTTGGCTTCATGACAGAAGTAATCCAGAGTTCCCAGAGAGATGTTGTATACATAGTAGGCAAACCTCTGCACAGATGGATTCTAGAAACCATTACTGTATCAGCTGCTACATCCTGGCCACCTTGCACCCCAAGCCTACAACACCTGGTATTCCCAGACAGCCTCCCGTCCTCAACTCTGCCTATGAAAAATAAAACACAAAGAGATATGAGCGTCGATCTTTAGTCACTCAGGGAGCAGGGAGTACGGGCGATAGGTAACCAGAATTATGTTTAAACGTTGGCCTTAATTGTTGACACATTTTTCACTTTCCAGTATATTTACTGATCATTCATTACACCTGTGCCAGACAAAACACACGAGAGCAAAAGGGGGTTAAATAGTGTGTCACAAAGGGAGAGATATCGATAGCTTTTCTTATTCAGAGCCGTGCAATGAGCCAGCTGAGATTAACATATCACCGTTGTAAGGAGAGTGTTGCATGTTTGAAATATTAAAGAAGCTTTATTCCACACAAATACCAATAAATGTAGCAAATCGCAGAAAATAAAACAAAGCAGTCACAGAGAGAGACCGTTTTCTGACAAATACCGGTTCATGTTATAACTTTCTTTATTCAAGGGTTCACCTATTAAAGGACAACGCATTTTACACAAATCTGCCATGACTACAATTTGTTCCATTACTACAATTTTTTTCTATTGAAAAAAATCGTACGCAATGGTTAGGAAACAGATGAATATTGTCCAAGCAAAAGTTGTTTGTTAGCAGCTTACATTTTTTGAGAGAGAGACAAAAAAACCCGATGCGTGTGTTTATGTGTGTGTGTGTGAGCTCAAAAAATATTTTAATTGCATCCATGTGATGAATTACCAGCCATGGTGTGTGAGTGGAAAGGTGGACATTTGAGATTTCATTTCTTCATGTAATACGAACCGTAGTAACAGAATCACAATGACGGCTGCAATTTTGTCTTTCTACAACTTGGCATGCGGTTTACTTGCTTTTAGATTAATACATACAAGTTTAATATAGCCCATGTTCTGATATGTTCGATATACTTTGCAGGTTAACAATTCTACGTACACTTGAACTTTTTAATTGTTAGAAAAATGGTTGCAGTGTGCACGATACAGAATTTCAATATTATACATGCTCGTGGCTTGGTTTTGGTGGCAACGGTGGCACACACCAATGAACCCGGCCACGTTGAGTTTGATTCTCAGAGACGACCACCGTCAGTGGCGAGCGATGCTTGAACTCAGTCCTTGGGTGGCGTCTCCTTGAACAACCCGCACTGAAGAACGTAGTGAAGTATGGTTAAACAACTCCATGGTCAACACTGTGTTGTGGGTGGATTCACTATATATATATATAATTATACATCTTTGTATACAAATCATTTGCTTTGTTTCCCTTGCTATATGTATATATATTTTCCCAGATTTTTTTAAAAATTATTTTCCGGAGCATGTCTTCGTTTCAAACGATAATAGGTATCCGAATGTAAATTGTACCTGGGCTATGCATACTACCGCACGAATGGCTAAATGAATGCCTGTGACAGGAACAACTGCAGGATATGGCACAGATTGAAGACACGGGCAAAGCATACACAAAAGCAACTGAAACACTTTTCCCCAACTGTACGAAACTGTGCAGCTTCAGATGCTACACTGGGGAGTTGGGTGGGGGGGGAATACCCTAAACACGTTTTTCTCAGCCACAGCAGGAGGAGGAGCAGGAGACAGACGAGGTGGTTGAAGAAAGAAGAGAAATTTGTAACTTATAAAACAGCACGTGGGACACCTTAAAAAGCACCAGCAGTTTCTAAATGAAGGCGTGATCCGCTACGCGTGTGGAAAGGCTTGGGGCGGGGGGGGGGCTATCAACACACGTTGGGGGGGGAGGGGGCGAAAATTCGTTTCGTGACTTCACTATGTTGTACGACAAAGCGGCCTCAACCATCACTGTCTTGCAATGCAGCTCGACGAAAATTAAATCATTACCGAAATAAACAACCCCCCAAAAACAGCTCACATCTATACAAATAAATAACACCTTTCTTGTTGGCTGAACAAGGGAGGGGAAGAACCGGCTTCCGTGGCTTGGGCTGAAGATCAAAACGAACGCAAGCGCCGCGGAGCGATCATGCGCCGGAGTCCTCTGCCGTGTTTACAGTCCGAAGATCAAGCTGAAAGGACAACCCTTTCATCACGCAACTCACGCGCGCTAGCGGTGGCGATTACCCCTTCTCACGTTCAACGCCGCGATTTGAAGGATAATTGGGGGGGGGGGGAGAAGGAGGGGGGGGGGTGCGATTCATTACTAGCGATTAACATAAAGTGAGTGAGTGAAATCGTAAGCGATTTTATCAACAATTTTACGCCATTTAGAGGGGGCAGGGAGGGAGGGGGAGAGGGAGGGGGGAGGGATTCCACATACATTTTACATCAAAATAACACACCTGTCAGATGTTTAAATCGTTTGACGCGTGTGTCATCGTCACGATGTGTGATAGGTGGAATTCCTACGGCGACGTCGCATTACATAGGCCGTTAGCTGCCGAGAAAGATGACCGTTTCGTGTTCATTGCGCGCCGTCGCCGCTTCGGGACGGGATGGGATTATTTCTTTCCAGCGGGTGGATTGAAAGGGAAGGGGAGGAGAGCTAGGTTAGGTACGACGCTTGAGAACGTCGGGGAACCGTTGGGTAGGAGTTAAAGAGTCGCGGTGAGCGACGCAAACTACCCTAAACCACACTTTGGGGTGCTCTGCACGAACGACACGCGGATTTTGTATTCGCTCGCTCGATCTGAGCAGCAAGCCCCCCCTCCCCCCGCCCCAATTAACGATCGTCACCTTCTAAACACCAAGCGCTATCCCCCGCATCCATCCCAGTCCTGTCCGCTGCAGATGCCACGTGGCAGTGTGGCGATTGCCACCGGTGGAAAATGAAGACCGCGCGGGGTTTGTCCAAACGGTCAAATCGCCGCTTTCAACGCAGCTCTGTTTGGTTGATCATGGTCTCGCTCCGGCGTGGGAGGTTTGAGAGCAACGCGTTACTTTGGATTACGGTGCAGGTGTGTATGTTGAACTTCTTTCGCACCGTACGTAGCCACAGCCGTGCCAATCGGAGGTGCGGGGGGAAGGACAACGAAGATGTTTGTGTTTCGAGTGCGGAGGGTTTGACCCTCCACCCCCCACCCCCCCAACAAAGCATCGGGAATTGATCAATTGCGGGGAGCCATTCTCGAAAACCAGGACATCCTCCTTTCGGATCACATTGGTCGGAGTCCCATATTTTAATTAGAAATGCTTTTGCCAATGACATGCATGCTAATCCGGCAGTATGTTTTTTAAACAGGCCTGACTGCTGACGAGACCCAGTAGGTTGAAGCTAGTCAAACGCAGTTTGCTTGCTTGAAACAAAAGTGACGCTGAATGTATGTTGGACTGTATGTTGAACTTCTTTCGCACCGTACGTAGGCAACCGTGCTAATCGCGGGATAACACTGTGTCTAGGAGAGCGCCAATAGGCTGACGAGGTCAAACACATTTGCTGATTTATTTATACGTGGAGACACAAAAAGATGGTTCTGCATATTTCGTTTTCTACTCTCATTGGATCACTTTGGTTTGCCCTGAAAATTGACCACGCCTGGTTTACGGTACAAATTGCGAGCAATTCACACATTTGGGTACAGAGCATGACTCCCTTTTTTGGTGGGCGCAGGAATAAAATACAACAATCTGAATGGCTCAGAAAAGTCATCCACATCAACATGTAAGAGCCGCACATGTGAAAGAGACAGGTAAAAGCCTCGAAACAGGGGGAGGGCAATGTAAGGATACGGGTGATTTGGGGATAATAACAACATTGTTAGGTGGGTATCGATAACTGAGAGATATCCCACGCCAGTGGATGTGGTGCAGAAGTGGGCAGCTTGAGTCCAGAGGTATTGATCTGAACATTCAACATCATCAGCATCAGCCATGACTAATCCACTGCTGGATTAAGGTCTCTCCAAGTCGTCGCCATCTATCGCATTAGCGATTAAAATAGATTTTAAAACAAGCCGCAATGCACCGTAAGATAACTTTATTTTTTATTTTTTTTCCTTAAAACAATAATTCTTCTGATTTCAACTTGTGCCTGATCGTTTGCATTTCACACAACACAAGCCGCCGTCACGTATCGTATTGGATTTAAAGGAAGATTCAATCCAAAAAACAAATAGCCCTTATTTTGTAGATTTATTACGTAGCACACCCCACCCTCCAATGCGTCCGCGGGTTGTCAAAACGCGATTGTGGAAGCTTCGTTAATGAGAAAATAGACTCTAAAGTTACGGTCGAACGTGTCGTTAAGTCACCGCTGTAACGTCACTCCCCGCACACTTTGACGCGCCGATAGACGAGCTGACATCGTTAGAATGCCGGAGTGGCGCACGACTGCAATTTCAAAGTCTCGGGGTTTTTTGTTGTTGTCACTAACGAAGATTCAAGCTTGTGTCAGGCAGCCCGGGACGCAAAGGGCTTGGATGTGTAACCACAAAAAGCCATTGGTTTGTTGGGTTGTGCATTCCTTTAAAAAAGTAAGTAGGCTGTAACTTCTCATAAAACATTCGTCAGCACAGACATCATGAACAACATACGATTGAAACATGTTTTTTTTTTGTACCTGTTATTTCACGTTCTGCCAAAAGCTGCGAACAAGACGAATTTATCAATCGGCTCAAAGTCCCGAGAACGCTCCGTCCGTCTCATCTCGCCGCAAGCTGCTGCACAGTTAGTTAAAGCTTTTCGTGTATAGCTGGGTGTGGATATCAACGTTGATGCGCAGAGAAGATAGATGGGCCAAAGCAAAACATTCATTGAGAAGGGGAGGTAAAGAGTGTGTGATGTGCAGCCGCCCCCAGATCGGTGCAAACACCGCTCAAGTCAGCAGAATGAGAGCCAGTCAAAAAGCGTTAACTTACGTTACGTGAAAATGCACGAGGTGAGCGTTTTAGCATTCCTGTTTGGCGGTGGGCAGAAATGTGTTGCCGCCCGCAGTGACTGTAACATAAACACGTAACTTTTGCACCAAAATTCGAAAAAAAACCCGCAAATTACTAAATTGGGACTATCAATAGAAATCACTGCCCACCTACCGGCAGACTAATGCCCCAGGCCACTTTTGCAAATGAGACTGTCCTGGTCTCGTGAGTTCTCAGCTGGTTCAGCAAAATAAACTTGAACATTCAAAATGGTGGTTCTAGGTAAACCTGGATATGTTTTGTTCGTTTCAAGATAAACGCAAAATAATTAGTCAGATTGATGCTCAAAGTTTGTTCAGTGGTCGTGGCAACATCTGCCAACTCCCGTCGCACAGCCACGTAAAGCAAAGCAGTCTGGGTAAATTTCCAAGATGGTAATAAACATTGGAGTCACGTGCTGTGGGACAGCAGCAATGGACTTTCTGGTGAAGGATAATTCGAAACCAGCTCAGATTTGCAGGTCAGCTGTACAGTTTGGTCATTTGTGTACCTCGTAGAGAAGTCCGTTTGAGCGGCGGCAGAGGTTTAAAAAACAGACGAGGGTAATTTCAAAAAAGTTACGAGAATGTGAAAGCAGATGTCCTGAAAGAGCTGCGTGCATGCGCCTAAATAATTATGCACATCTGGTGTTAAGGCGTCAACAACTCCAATTGGACAAATGCGTACGTGTGGCAGGAGGGCACATTAAAAAAAGACTGTTTTGGTCAGTTTCCTTTAGTTTCAAATTATTTCAAAAGTGCAGGTTTAAACTTAGAACCACCCTCAGTATTTTTCGGTATAACGGTACCTACATGCGCAGCTTACATGGATCGACCTACAACTCTGGCCTGAGAGCCCAACTATGTCTACAGCTGAGGACCTGCTACACACACAGTTAAAAGCGTTTTCTTATACTGCCACCATTGATCTCTGTTCAAACTATTTTAAATCCTCTCAAAAAAGCTGAAAACCCATCTTCTGCTCATGAAAAGATGTCCATAGATCTCACAGTATATCACAAGTGAAAATGAAAGTCCACATTCTTTTCTCCATTCACAACAAAGCAGAAAATGGTTTAAATCAGTGGTTTGCATGTTTTACCTATGAGGATGTTCCCATTCAAGTGGAGAATGATGATGTCTATCAATCTAGAGCAGGCGTATAAACAAGGGATGACTTACATAGGAGTTGTGAGCAAAGTCTCCAAATGTGGGACCTTGACTGCAATGGTGTAATGCCGACAACATATTCTGTATACAGGATATGCAAAATGCCCATTATCTTTAGTAATCTCGCGAATTGAACAAAAAATATAAAAACAATTCACAAAAAATACTCTTTCTCATAAGGGTGAAATAAATATAGTATGGACGTCTATTTATGAGAATCGCCCATCACGGCCGACGCATTTCCTCATTAGTGCCGCACGTGTTAATTGGCTCACTACAGTTGCATGTCTTGCTCAACGCACAGCGCTCGTGAAATAAATAATCTTGGGAATTGCAGCTTTCTCCTTGTGTGCAAACAAATCACATTTGGATCACCCCTCAGTCAAGGCCCCTTCCTTCTCCCCGTGGTATTGGCTCAACGCGCCTCCTCTCTTAGTGGTTTCCATTGTATGACAAGAAAGCATTCCCTCCAGTGACAGCCAATGATCAATTTCTGGAGCGGATGGATTTGCGGCAAGATCTGTTGCTTGGGACCCATTCAGCCGCCCACCACCACCACCCTTCTTCCCTTCCCCCCCAACCCCCTACCCCTCATCCCCATACATTATATGATTGGCGGCCGAAAAAGAAGTGAGTGCCGTGTGTTTGTTAATCCACGAATCACCAGGATGCATGCAAGCTCATCCCCAGAGAAATACCTTTATTGATAATAAATTGGTTAATTGATCATAGTACATGCATACAGAATAACAAAATAAAAATAAAGGGAAGAAAGCAGAGACCCGGCTATATATTATATTTGTTATCATGGTTATTATTACTATTAACAATATTAACTTGACAAAAGCTCCTCTGGGTTTGGTGCAGCCTGTAAACAATGGCACGTTATTGTTACGGCACTGGGCGTGTGAGAACAATTACTATACACAGGAAAGGTAAACATAGAGGATATTACACTTCTCCCCGATTCCCCCCCCCCACCCCGCGACCTCCCTACCCTCCAAACCCAACCTCTCTCCCAGTAGAAACAAAATAAAACAACACCAACAAACCTAATCAAAAACAAAAAAAAAACCCACAAGGCTGGCTGGGCTTTGCATGGTGCAGCCGCTGGCTAGGAGCCAACAGTTGCTCATTAGAGGCTAAAAAACTGACTTTTTTTTTACACACCAGGCAGTTGGTGCGAGATCATGAAAAGAAAAAAAATCTATAAAGAGCAAGAAGAAAGCAAAAACCCTTGTCCATATATCCACACTTAACCCCCCCCCCCCCCCCACCACGACACTCAAAAAATTCTGGAAGAGGGAACGATAGCACAGCATATCGGAGGCAGCGATGAATTCGAGTGCGCGGCAACGTGGTCCGGGACACACCGCACCTCCGCACCTGGGAACGCCAGGAATAATACTGAGGGCCTTTTTTTGTCTGGCCTGGCGTCACCTGCTCGTCTTCTCCCAACCCCCAACGCCTTAGTTCCAAACTCAGCCCCTCCCCCATACCGGCACCAACCCCCCCCCCCCCCGGCCCTTACCCCCCCGCCCCAGCCCTGACACCCCACCCCAACCCAAAAATACGACACTCAACAAGTTGTAAAATACTATAGTGTAAAATTTTGCATACAATTGCATGGATCATATAATTAAAAAGGTACAGTACTTTTTATTTTTATAATCGTTATAGAGCTATTCTACAGAGACACTCTACGCCACGTCGTTCGCTCATTAACTGATCGCGTATTTTCAGTTCCTCGACAAAGATCACGCTTTATATTTCCCAACCATATTTTTTTTGTTTATTATTTACTATCGAGGTTTTGCAGAAGAAGGAATTCTCCGACAGGATAATTTCGCCCCTCTTTTCTCTCTTCATCCATGGCTCTGTTATTATATCATTTAAAAAATAAAATAAAAATAACAGCAGCGGCTTGAATAATTTACGACATAAGACATTTTTTAAAAGCACTGTGTAGGAGTACGGCCTAGTATCTACTAGATTTGCGCAAATTCTAGGGATATTATTTTAGCTTTTGACCCCATTTAATCCTACGCCACTCGGATGTTTTGCAAGACATTACAGTTAGAGTACATATATAAACAAGTTAACTGCCTGCACAATATGTACAAGACAAATAAGCTTTGGTGTGTGAATAAACAATTGTGAACGATGTAAAAAATAAAATAAAAATGACGGGAGAAAAATGATTTCGAAGCTTTACACAGGCTTAAATACTTGAAACTGAATTGTTGTATACATGATTGTTGCCAGCATTAGGACTTAAATATAATATGCTTTTAAAACGATTATCGTCGTTGTGGATTTATTTTCCTCGGCAGTTAGGCCATATCATGGATGGCTTCACCCCCGACAACACACTCTCCCTCTGACCACTCCAAAACTAAACTGTACAACATGTAACGCTTAAACTAGCCAAACTGCACAATTTCTTTGGAAAATCAAGTTAACGCGCACACACGCACGCGCACACAAAAAAAGAAAAATGAAAAAAAAATCACAAAAGAATGGAGCAAACATTCTTTAAGTTTGAGTAAACCTCCTGAGGTATAAACAAAAAAAAAATCAATAATAATACAGGGTGTCCGTTGAAGGTATCGCTCATAGTTAAGGAATCATAATCAGACGGTAGTTTGATCGAGGCCAGTATAAATTAACACACGCGCACGCCTGGAAGAATTAATATTATTATGGGATGAGTCTCGTCTCCCTGAAACCTTTGCATGTCTGCCGTGTGGCGTTTGCGACGAGCGCGCACACACACACACATCGAGTCCAGAACTTGAGAAGAGTCTCGTCCATTTGCAAAAAAAAAACATCTCGGCGGTGATTATTTAAAATTCGACTCATTATTATTATTATGCACCGTTGAATATCACTCGAGCTTTTTCAGTAAAAAAAGCCAACAACCCATGAGCTTATAATGAATGAATACATTGTTTCAAACACGCAGTTCAAACTGCTGTCTGAATTATATTTATTTAATGATGCACGATACATTTTGAGGACACCCAGAATAAAAATAATAATAATAGTCAAAGGTACAACACATTACTGCTTGTCTTGAAAAAATACTCAGATGGCAGGGAGGCCTTTAAGCATCTCCTCACTGGAAGGGCATCTCTCTTGCATTCAGTAAGGCGTGAAGCGGTTGTAGCCTCCCCTGTAAAGACTGGCCTGAAAAAATACAAGGTGCGTGGGCCGCAGGAGAAAAGCCAGTCAACGTTTTTAGAAAAGGACAACGGTGTTAAAAAGAAAATACAACATTCCCCACGAACATTCCTCATTTCCTTGAGCGAACATTAAAAAAAAAGCATGCGCTGGGAAAACCACTTGTGGTTGGATTTAATTATGAAAAGCTGGCAATTATCTTAATTAAGTAACACGTTTGGCTTCAGGAGGCTCGGGAGATTTGACATATAATAACATGCATAAAATCTGGCTCGCTGGGATGTGGACATTAATCAAGTGGCTGGGTAATTGTTTGGCGAGCATTGGCTGGCTGGTCGGCTGTCGCGTCGCCACGGCAAGATGTACGATGATCTAAGTGTGGCCCGAGTGGGGCGCCCCGAGTGTGCGGCAAAAAACAGGAGTCAGGTATTTCACGTTTAAGTGAAGGGGGAGCTGACCATAGTGCTGACTCCATAGGTGGCTGCAGGGCCAATGGCGTGGTGATACGGGTCTGCGGCGGCTGCATAGACTCGTCCGTAGCTGCGGGAGGTGACAAAAAGGGGGGCGAGATTGCACGCAGATGGAAGAATGGACGAGGCACGGTGAGCAAGGCAATGGGACCCTAATCCTATCTGACCCCGGGTCAACTCAGCATGGGGTGCACCAATCAATGCGCGCTGCCCGGACAAATGCTCGCGAGCAGACAAACAGTTTGACGCGAGTAGATAATGCTGCAAGCTATCTCTCGCTCCCCACCCCCTCTCCATTTTCCTCTTCCCTCTTATCTCTCTCTCTCCCCTCTTTTCTCTCCCTCTTTCTCAGATGCGCTCAGTGCATTTAATTGGGCAGAGGCTGGCGTTTCTGTATGAATCACTGTCAGCGGGCCAGGCCAGTGCCTCACGTTACTCGGCGCATTAACGACATACGCTGCCGCCGCCGCCGCCGTGTGTAACGCGGACTACAAATTCACTCCACGCTGGAACCCTTCATCACTGTCCCCGTGCATCCCGCCAGCAACAAAAATTACACACGAGGCTTGCTCATAACGTTATCCAGCTTGCAGTAGCGCAATTCGTAGCGTGCAGTCTGTGACCTGAAAATGCCTGCGGCGCGTTTAATGCCATCGCCGTAAAAAAAAAAAAATATCGTATCTCTGAAAGCATCCTTCAGTCGAAACTTCTGTTTCACACGCAGCGCTTCCAATTCACATATCCAGTGCAAGATTGCATGACATTTTTTGTGTTGCATTGTTATCTAAACCGTCACGCTCTTAATATCTTTCCTACTAAAATGAAGCAATGCCCGTATATTTTCCTTAAAGTAAATTTTTTTTTATCTTTAAGACACTAATATGCATCTCAGCAAGAAACAGCCTAATGAGCAATTATTGTTCTTAATATTGCTCACAGAAGACATAATTTCCATTATCACACTCTGTAGTAAAAAATCACTCATTTGAGCATCAGAGTCTCGAACAAAAGTGTCGCCTATTAGCACCAATTTTTGGCTGAGACCGAGGGGGGTTCACGCGGTAATTGCCAAGCGAGCGCCGTGAAAGTGGTTGGCTGCTGTGACGGCCGCCATCGCCGCCGCTATTGGGAATGGAACCGTGAGGAATGGCAACGTACCTGTCACTGTAGGCGGCCGCGGCTGCGGCTGCGGCGGCCGGCTGGGCATACCGGTAAGCAGTGTAACCACCCTGCCGCCGCATAAAAAAAAACACAACGGTAGAATACGTCAACGCGTTTCAGTCGCATCGAGACACGCGCCGTGCCTCTTTGCGAATCGTAGTGTGTGTGCGACGGGCAAATGCACGCTCGCTCTCTCGCAAAGTGCTTGGTTAGACGGACAAAACCGGCGTGCCAGCCCATTCCAGAATGGAGTGCATTTCCGCAAAAGTTGCGCCACCCAATCGGGTGCGATGATCGTGAAGCGATGGAGGGAATCGCCGGCCAAGGCCCGTGCATGCGTGCCGACGGTGTCGCGGCGTCATCGGCTGAGAGGCATTTGGACGCCGCGCCACGAGCATTCACCTTGATTTTGCTCATTGCCCACTCTTGCGCCACCCAGCAACGCTGCGCACGCACAGTCACGCTCGTACGGACGCGCTTTCCGACCACACATGTACTCTCGCGCGGATGCACGCAAACTGAAACCCGCCCTCCAAATTTGTGTGTGAGAAGACGTTCCAGCTGAAACTGAAGGGCAATCGTGGGCCATCACCCCAGGCTGGTCCAACCCCATTGCAAGTGCTGTCACTCGTGATAGCCACGGGGTCGTAATATCTGCGCACCGCTCGCATGGCTGGTGGACCCAGCTCTCGCTTGCACTGCTCAGAATCGGTGTCGCCGCTCGCCTATTGTCATGCGGAGGATTAATAACGCCGTCGATTTCATTCTGTTGGAAGTTTAAATAATTTTTTTACAATGTTAGCGAAATTTCACGTCGCCAATGTTTGTTGCGCGGCGTAGGAATTTAACATAATTTTAACATATTGCGTGGAAATCAAAGTTGTCGTTCGGCTTCGGCTGTTGTATAAATCAAATCGCGTTTTAATAACGCAAATGCTGGCAGGTGATTTATAATCAACAACAAAATATAGGTACGATTTTTTTTTTCCTTGTCGCCATCGAAATCGTGGAAACAAGCGTGCTGTCCTAACCTTGGAAGAGTCAGCTTTATTTAATTAATGCCTAACGCATCCTGATCACGGGCATTATAATCATTCCCGCACACTAAAGTAAATGGACTGTCAAATCATCGTCTGCTTGTTTTCTAGCCCGCCTCGTACCCCCGCCTGCAGTTTTGCTGACGCGGGCATTTTTTGGGTGCGGGAGAAACGGCGAGACAAAGAGGACGCGAGTGCACGCATGGAGGTCTGATTAGAGGACCATCACAGGCCCACTCTTGACTCTGCCAAGGTTAATCACTTCCAATCTTGTTTCCCATTCCAGGTGCCAGGTAGTATTTACGCAGAGGACAGATGCAATTTGTAGCCTCCAGACTCAATTCCCGCGTGAGGATCAATTAATAAACCCCAAAGTGTTATTAAGCACGACCAACTGACAGGAAGCCGCTCCGGCCATTTCAGATAACCGGAGGCCCTTTAAGCCGTATTTACAGCCACGCTGTCCAAACCCACTGATGGGCACCCCCGATTGGGAGGATTTGTGTCGGAACGTCATTGCAGAAAACACACCGGAACCGGCACGAATTCGCCGCACCCCGTTTTGCACAAATCAGAACAGCATCCTCGTCCAGCCGATCGCCCACAAAGCCGAAGAGGTTAGTACGTTGGTGCTGCGTGGTTTTGCTCACGAAGAAAATCACACCAAGAGGGTATGAGAGGAAAGTCAAGTACGATGCAAGAAGACCATCATACTCTACCTGGGGCAATCTATTGCCAAACACAGGATCAGGGTACACTATTCTATAATGAAACAGAGAACACATTGAATGTAGTATGAACATTGTGGGAACATTCAAGCCAGAAGGCCATCGCGTCTCTTCCAGGCGTGTTGATGTGCGCAAAAGCTGTTGCCAACTTAAAAAAAAAATGTCCCATACGTCTGAGCTGCAATCAAGTTTTTTTTTCCTTCCTTCAGAAAACCGGAAGAGATAAACTGTATTTACGGCCATGGCATAACAGTCTCGAACATTAAATTAACAATTAGCGGTTTTCAGACACATCTGGAAGTGAACGATGCACCTCCCTCCAGCCACAGTGAAAAACAATAACAATTTTGTCTTCTAATACTTACATAAATATCAGCACCATAAAAGCCATCCTGGTAAACAACACTGCAAATGTTTCGCACAAAAGACACACACGTACCCATTAGCGTAACAAACCATATGCTCGCAGTGAAATCACGGACAGATGTTTGTTAATTAAACCTGTGTTTGTTCTACATTGAATTTGTCTACGGCCTGCAGATGTTGGCTCGGCTGATCTTTGTAAGGCCATGGAAAGCTTTGTGTAAAGGGGGGGGGGGAGCTTGGAGGGGGGGGGGGGTCACACAGAAACTATTTAAATATTTTTATTTTACCAGGTAAGGTCCACTGAGCTATATAACTGTTTTAATATGCGACCTGGCCACAAATGATAGCTCAACAAAGTGCCTTATCACAACAAATTCGAAATATACACGTGTCAGGATCAGGATCAAATCCACAACCTCCTGCATACCAGGCGAGGTAGTTAACATCTCACCACCACCGTGGAAATATTATTTGACTCAGAAGTTTTGGTCGGAGCTTTACCTGTCCCTCTGTATTCCGTACAAGATGTCTGCAGCCATCCCCGCGTTGATTGAGATAAATTGTACGCTCGTTGCCCTGAGTTAGGGAGTTTTCCCTAACTGCATGCTTACACAAGCACATATTGGCGCGTGCAGGTAATGTGCGACCGGGACGGGAGTGGTTGGACAAACTTGTGCATTTCCCGCTATATTTGCTTAGCTAAGGTCCTGCTGTTACTTATCGGGATCTATTGCCGATGGTGCATCACTTTAAGTGGACAAATATTGTTCGAACAGTGCAATTAATTACAGGGTAACGCACACAATTAGACAATATCCTGTCTTGGCTTCATAGTTATTGCACAGCTATCGCCGGTAATTAAGGATAAGGATTTGCATTTATTGGGGGCTTAAATGTCACGGCGTCTGAAAGCGCCTGAAAAAAAACGAGGAAGGGGATGCAACACATCGCCGGAGAAAAAAAACGTGGAAAAATCAGCTAAATTTACAGCATGGCTCAACACGCTAGTTCAAATGTTACTTTACTCCCCTTAATTTGTTTTCTATCTGCTGGACAGCGGCATTCTTACTTATTAGTTTATTAACTCAAGCAAATAAAACGTGCACAAATTAAACGGCAACGCATGTCCCTTGATAGTGCTAATTAAGAGTTGCAAATATTTGCGCGTGTAGAAAAATGCAGTCGTGAACGTTTATCCTCTGATGTGATTATGGATGCTGTAAAATAACGGCGTTGAATACATTTAGCAATTCACATCGCAACGTATTAATTTATCCTTCAAAGGACACCAGGAAAAGTTGTCGTGATGGTGGGGTTATTACTAACATCTTATAAGGTTGTCAACAATTAATAATTTGGGATCTGGCTGCACCCTTGTTCTAGAATTCCCTTCCCCCAGCTGCCCGTGCCGTCAATTCCCTGCTGCCCATTTTGGTCCAAGCTCAAAACATTCCTCATCCTCTCTACCGATGACCGACAGTGTTCTAAAAATACACAGTATATATGTAGAGCTTCTTTTTCCCCGTGACGCACATGTACCTGTTTCCGTAGAGAGTCTTAAGGTGTCGTTGCGATTTAGACAGTATATAAATCCACATGACAATGCATTGGCATGTAATGACCCGTCCTTGAAAATGCTGGCATGAAGTCTGCCTATGTTGATGATGCAATTTGGTTGTTTTCTACAAAAAATAATGGTTGGCTGTGGATATCAAACTTAATAAGGAGTGAACTGACCACAGGCACATTCTGTGTAATTTCTAATGGTATTTTAAGTTTTTTTTAGCTCTCTCACAGTCAAAACCCTTTGTTCAGAAAGTGATCTTCTGATGAATTTGTTTGTAGATCAAAGAAAACACCCAACAGGCATTAAAGCTACCGACGGCCATCATTAGAGAATTGTATAAAAATGTATAAGAAAGAGAAAAATTCAAAGCCAGAACTGGGAATCAAAAAGAGGCATTATATTCGGAGAATATGAAGAAGTTGTTGCTAAAATCCATTGGTTTAAAAGCACAGCAATTGGCGGCGACACCAATGCCGTCCTGCATGTAAGCGCGATTGTCCGTGCCACAGCAGCTGCGCGCACACTCACGCACAGGCCCCGTTGAGTCAGATTCCCCTGTATCGGGTTTAACGAACGGCCGTGCCACTGCGGTCGACTTGGCGCCCCGCACTGATTTGGCGCCGCGTTGCTTTGTGCGACACCCCGACTGCGCGCGCCCGACTGCCGAGCTGCTCGACAAAGGGGCGCCCACATCGCCTATCGCGGCGACGGGAGCTCTCGCTGGGTTAAACAAACAAAGCTTGGGACTTGTCTCGGAGGTGGACTTAGAAAAATGGACGACTGGAACCCCGGACGAAGTGGCGATCAGGCTTTGTTGAGCGATGTGGACATCGATGGGCGACAGCAAACGCAAGCGGCAGCAGCAGCAGCTGATAATTATTACCCTCCATATGCAGGGATGGTGGGGGGCGGGGGGGCTGGGCGTAGCGCGTTGTAGACGGCCCGGCCTCGGCCTCGCAGGTGGGCCCCCCGGTACGCGGCCACCGCCCCCACCGCAGGGTATGGAAAGCCCGCCACTGTCGCACGCAACGCAACAACGCACGTGCACGCACACGCACGCAACGCGCGCAGCACAATGCACATAACACACATGCCCAACGTACGCATGCAACACGCACACGCACGCAGCACATACACGTATGCGCAACACACACACGCAAGCAACGCACACATTAGAATAGTTGTCTATTGGTAAGGTTGCACCAAATATCATCCGGAACTCAAATCCTTATTTATGTTTTCAATCGCATCATTCTAACACCACTACAGTACTACGAATAACTATAATTTGCCGAGTACCTTAACCATTTTGTGCAGCTGTCACGAGATTGAGCTAAGTAGCTTGCCCAGCATTATGATGTTTGTAGTCAAGTGATGGATACCAGAAAAATATATTTTTTCAGGGGGGGCGGGGGGGGGGGGTCCCTGGTGGGCTGGAATCACCACTATGCCACCTTATGCTTAGGGCTTCAGTATTCCTCTGGATGAAATCACCCAAAATTTGGTGGTGTAATTATGAGCGGTGTGCCACTGGGATGAGCGGGGACAACCATTGACGTTCATTTTTGGGGAGACCCACCTGCATATATCTCAGGCCCGTAGACTGCTCCAACCACCGGATTCAGTTTCCAGCCTGTAGAGTAAAGAAATAATCATCCGAACGAATTAGAATCTCGATTTATCCTGGAGGAATCCGATGAGCTGCAATGCTCTTTTTATTACAGCATGTCCAGAAGGGGCGGGTCAGAAAGTTGCAACAACGAAAGATACAAAAAAGCGATAGGAATGGAAAAAAATATAGAAAAGGTAAACAAATCACGAAAAATAAATACGTTAATTAAAACTAAAAATTGTATTTAAAAAGGTAAAGCCCACTGAGCTATTAGTTATTTTTCAAAAGTGACTTGGCTACAAATGATAGCTCAACGAAGTGGCTTATTATGTTGAAATGTATAGCAGCCAAATAATCTAAAGGAAGTTAATGGAAATGTAGCTAATCTCTTGGACACATGCGAGAGTCATTCTATTAAGTCAACAGAGGCTTCTTTAGAATTGTTAAGACTGAGCAAGCATCCTTAACCCAAGAACAGGTTCGTGTTAACTCGTAACAAGCTTGAATTTCCCCACCAACTACCTCCAAAAGAGTATTTCCAGGTTAAAGCACCTCCTATACACAGAGGATAGCAATTCTAGTGCATTAAAAATCAGAACCATATTTATCAACCACCTGGCATTGGAAATGCAGCACTAACGGCCTCCGAGTGCCAAAACGCTGAAGGCTGAGTTCACGCAGTGTTGCCAAAAAGCTGTTCTCTTTCAGTAAGGGCCATCAAAGACCCAGTGATCGATATGTATGATAAGCGAAAAAGGGAACGTGGAGGTGGGAGACACCGGGACGATGGATTTGCCGAACTAGGTTCCCCTTTTGTGCCTGTGCATCACAGCTGGCAACGAGGGTGTGCGGCGCATTGAAGAAGACACACGTGGCAGACACTTGCACAAAACCAGCAGGGATTTCTTACGGGAGGAAAGAGTGATCCGAATATTAAACATTGTCGTAAAGGTTTTGCCCGCAACCTGTGCCTGCACCCCGTGCCACCTCGCAATTGAGGACACCGCTTGTTCTGCAGGCATAACGCAATTTAATTGTTGTGCTTTTCGGGAGGCTTATTTAGAGCGCCGACCCCCTGCAGCCAAGCTACTGCCGACAAACTCGGATGCAGTCATTGATCTACGCAGCGCAGGGCCCTAGCCTAGTTTCATGTTTTGTGTCTAACCCCCCCCCCCCCCCACCACTTGCAACACGCAGCTTCCCCACCTGCTGCTTAAATGAATGCACCTATTCACTATTCGCGGGTCCCAATTCATCTCAGTCTTGTGCGCGGGCACCAATTAAAGCTCCCCGGACGCCTCGGGGTCCGTGTTGGGGGTGTTTTGGATAATGTTAACCCCCCACCACCACCCCTCGCGACGTCAGCCATGCTCCTGACTGCTTTCGCTCGGATACAACCCACAGCAATCCCAACCTTCTTTCGTAATGGTTTTCATTTTTTTCGGGAAAATAAAAAAAATAATAATAAAAAGGACTCAGCAGGGCCTTCTCACATCGCCGGCCACGCTCCGCCTGCGCTCCGGCAGAACGCACGCTCATCCGCGGCCGAGCAGTGCCCATTGCTCACCGTTGGCGTACGGGTTGACCGCTTTCTTGTTTGTCATGACTCGTGCCGTTGCATTGTTAACCTGCGAGCCGGAGAGCGACAAGGAGACGAGGTCAACCGAGGCCCAGGTGCCGTCGCGAGAGAGGCATGCAAATTGATTCGTTCGGCAATTACTTGCTTATTTTTTTTATCTTTAACATTTTAGCGTTTTATAATAAAAATATGTATAGATAGGTATAAAAAGGAAATAAGTGAAAGCGAGTGCATTGTGTGCATGCGTGACATTTTGCACTCTCCACGCAGAAGTGTACACACGAATGAAGCTGCGAGGTTATTCCTTTTTATTGAAGCGTAGACAAAATGTGCGGTGCGATTACTTTGGTTTGCCAATAAAATTCGACAAAGACACAGCACACAAAAGAGAGTTATGCAGCAAGACCAATTTCTGCTCATGCTTGTACTGCCACGAGAGTAAGGAGTGCACCCAATCGTACAAGTGAAAACAAAAATCAACGTGCATGATTTTTACTGAAAAAAACAAGGCAGCCTTTTTTTTTTAAATTAACAACGGAAGGCATGGGATAAAAAAAAATCATGGTCGGGTTGGAAGAAATAACCAATGTGGCAAGGAATCCGTGTGTGAAAGAGCCGCACACATTTTGTATGGTCCAGTGTCTAAGCCATGACTAGCGTTCAACGCATCACGGGAAACAGAACCAAATTCAGTAGTAACCAGTCCATTCAAGCCGCACCACAATTTCAAATTTGCTAAATTAAAAATTGACAAAATGATTTTAAAAAAAGGGAGCTGAAGGGGAAAAAAAGGGGCCGGTGGTTGGGTGGGTGAAGGGGGGAAGGAAATGGGTATGGATTCTGGGGGCGTGCGCATTGATCTGAAAAAGATGAAGTTAACCGTCTGAAGGTGTGCACAGAGAAGCCATCATTCCCATCATTCGCTACAAACAAAACAGGTGATGAGGAAAGAGTGCGTGGCGGGTGAATGGGTGGCGGGGGAGGGGGCAGGGTGGGAAGGAAGCATTGCTAAGCACATAGTACAGGCGGACCAGATCATAAAGTAGCATTCTATAGAGAGGAAAAAAAATGGGAAAAAAAAATTCACGTAGAAGATTCAATTAAAATAATAATTAAGACACTGCCGTGTCTGAGCATTACACATGAGGGCTGAGGCGGTCATATCTACTTACCCCTCGGGGGCTGCGGGCGGCCAGCCTGATAGGCTTACGGTTACCACATGGTTACTGAGACATTGTTTGGAAGGGTTTCTAAAACGTGAGCGCACTCTGTCTCTATACCGCCAAAGAGGAGGGGAGAATGGAAAATGAAAAAAAACACGCAACATCTTACTCAGGGGAGCTACTCATGAAAACACCCACGCATTCCAGTCACATGACAGGGCTGAGTTTTCCATTGCACACATTTTAGATCGACTTTGAATTTACCGCAGCCAGCGTTACGTTAGGGCAGGTGCGCAGAACTAAAATAATCACGAACAAATTTCAGCAAAAAAAATCCCAGCATCATAGTTGGGGAGGTTTGATTTCCATTCACCCTGCCAGTTGTCTGAACGCGTGTATCATATGTATGCCGTTGAAACGAACTTTTCAAGCTATGCTCAGCCCTGCATGTAAAAATGTTGTAAAAAAAGATGGACAATTTTTTGTTATTATCTTTGGCGTCTTTTGGCGGAATTTTCTACGCATATATATGTAGACCCTGTGTGCGTATAAAATAGTCGTATAGACATTCTATTCAGTGACGCGATCCCTTTCGTAAGTCCTACGTACATGCGTCAGTTGCTTTAGTGAAACCCACCACGTAAATTCAGTGTCAGAAAGGAGTGCAAAGGGGTTAGAGAGTGAGAGGGGGGTGGGAGTCTGTGGCTCGGTGTCACAGACAGTTGTATGAGCGTCGGGTGGCGTGAAATAACAAAAAAAGTAAAAATATGAACAAAAAAAAAGACGACAACAAACAACGAAGAAACCAACCAAAGAGTTAAACAGCATCTCATAAAGCTGTAGCGGCAGCAGCGGCAGCAGCGGCAGCAGCAGCAACAGCAGCATAAGCAGAACACTTTGTCCAGGGAAATCATAATAATAAATAATAATAAGAAGAAGAATAATATAATGTGAACATGCACCTCTATTTTACGGCCCTCTACCATCGTGCCATGTAATTTCTCCCGCGCCCTGTCCGCATCAGCACTACTCTCGAAAGTTACGAAACCAAATCCCTGCATGCAGGCGGGAAAAGAAGGGGGGAAAACAACATGCGCAACCGTTACATACACAGAGAATCCATCACAGTTCCTTTGCTCCGTCATTCATTTGTTCTCGCATGCAAAATTTAGCGTGGCTCGTCAACGCCCAGGGTAAAATGAACGCACACGAAGAACAAAAGAAAAAAAAAAAGGTGAGAAATCGACGTGAGAAAAAATTAAAAGGGACACGAAAAAAAAGTAGATTTTTCGATGTGTCGTGAAAAAAATAATCGGGGGCTTGAAAGTAAACGATACACAATGGGAAGCACATAAATGCGGTTAACGTGAGGCGGGGAGTGGACTGCGCTACCGCATTTAGGCGGAACAGAAGTGGGGGCGAGAGAAACAGAGATAGGTGATTTATTTTAAATTATTTATCAAGCATTTGATCCATAAATAATGAGTTGCATTGTAAGGGGACCTCAATTACAGATAAGGAACATTCATTATATCTGCATGACTTTAAATAATATAGCGTAAACAATAAAAAAACTCAAAAAATATATCCATATTATTTAGTTTTTTAGGGCATGTGGTAAAATATAAAAATAGCGAGAGTAAAAAAGTAGAAGATGTGCGTTTCCAAAATTTCATTTAAAAACGAAACAAAGTGTAATAATAAGTGTGCTCTATCATTGCTGTATTAGTCTCTTTAACATTGAATCGTAATCGCTGTCATTTACTGGGTTTTGTTTCCCAAAGTGATTGAAGGAGCCACACACTGACACTGGAAAAGTGGACTGGCTGAACATGCCACCGGGACCATATCTAAGTACATGCAGCAGAGCATTATTCAGTGGCGCCCACCAGCACCGTTACGAACACAGCCATAGCTCGCCAGTGTAGAGTGATCTACGGCAATTCTAGCCGGCGTTCTGGACAGAGAGACATTTTGGCATCGGTTCATTGCTGTGACATTCAGAAAGCAAACCTACCGCACACCCCACCCTGCCCCGCCCCGCCCAGCCCCCAGGCCCCAAGCCGTTAAATTCCAGTCTCACCCTGCATCGGATAAACTATGGCAAATGTGGTCCAAAACCCCCTCTATACACGACTCTGTGCAAAACGATTGCGCTTTTCGCGGAATTTTCTGCAATACACGAGCAAATTCTGTTAAAAAAATGTATTTTTTACACATTCATTTAAAATGTAGGATAAAAACACCCGCGCACGTAATGCAAAATTTAACGATTGCCTAACGACATTTATACAAAAGTACATTTCGTACACTGTGACGTAGCTATGCACAATGTTCTGTAATATTACGTGGGATAGACACATTACGAACGTACAAAATTACACAGCGAGCAGGTAAAAATATCAACAGTACACATTAACATTGTCTTTCTGTCTTTCAAAACATTAAAGGTAGACATTAGTAAGGCATTCGCTATACTACAAACATAAGTCATACATTCCTATGGATTAAGGGCTGCCATCAAGTAAATTAGAATAAGGTCAAATAATTTGCTTCTCAGCTTCTTTAATCAAAATAAACTTTTTCCAATAAACTGCTTGGAAATATTCAAAGAACCATTAGCAGCAATTCAATATTTATGCTTTGAATTATTTATAACGTGCATTAAAAAAAAGGGGGGACATCATACCTTTGATCCTCTTTCGTTGAAAATGATTTCCACATCTAAAATTTTACCAAATTGCTGGGGAGGAAAAGGAAAAGACAATTTATAATGACAAACATCTCTGACCGGGTCAGATTCGAACAACACTCTTGAGGGATGTGTGCGCGTGCTATTGTGCATTTGCATACTGCTAGCGGCTGCTTTCAGGATGCTCTCGTCAGCGGGAGTAGGGGGGGGGGACCTCAAGTTTGTATGTACCAAGCGTCGTCTTCGTGACAAATAAGGCCCGTCGCGTGATATCGGGTCATCTACCGTGATGGTGGTTCACACTCGTGCACGTGTCCTACACTGGCTGGCTGTTTGTATTTAAATGCCACCCCATCCCCCCCCCCACTCCAAGGTCCTCAGCGTTGACAACGCGGCTCCCAATCCCCCGTGACTTCACCACAACTCAGCTGTTGTGCAAATTGGGTAATGGCAGTAAAAACGTTTCCAAATTTTTGTTTTATTTTAATTTTAGAGCACCTCCAGGTATGGGTTGTGCACATCTATAACCCGACAGCTCAGGGCCTTGGGATCGGTGATTTATTGAGCTAACATACAGCATCAGAGGGCAGCGCAGCTAAATCCATTGTTGTTCTGTGCTGCTTTCCTCCCACGCACGTCTATGCTCCCCGCCTTCTCCCGCCAATCCGTGTTGACCGGCATGTTGAAGTATGGTCGGGTAATCCCAACAGCCCGCATGATGTGGGGATACCCTAAACCAGTGGTGGATTGACCATAGGACTGTACAGCACATGGGTGAAACAATTAATAAGATATCCAACCCAATCTACAATCAATCAGAATCCTGTTCTTGATCATAGCATGGGCATGTGTTGTCCAGAACAGCAGCAAACCCAAACCGTTTGAAGTTCAACCAAAGACGACGCAAATAAAAACAATTTTAATGAAGAAAAAGCGTTTCAGCCATCGGCAAAGTCGACCTCCGAGAACAGGTAGGGCAGGAGGGTTTGCGTTTTTGCCGCCTCACCCCAAATAGCTGCCGGAGGTCGGGGTCCCGAAAACGGAACGGGATGTTGGAGACGTGCAGACGCTTGGGCTGTTGCTTCCCGTCCGGACTCTCGGCTGGGACCACCTGGGTGCAGTCTGTCTGGATGATGTCGTCAGTCTGCTGCGAACAATGAACATGGGGGGGGGGATACGTCGATACAGAACACAGAATAAGAATCTTTATTTTTACTCGAGAAATCCGATGACTTATAAAGCTCTTTTTCACAGATGTCCAGTAGGGGGTAGTTACAACAACAGGAAGTACAAAAACACCATAGGAAAGGTAAGAACATCACGAAAAAGTAAGGTTCACTGAGCTCTCAGCATCTTTTCCAGAAGAGACCTGGCCACAAATGACAACTCAACGACGTGGCTTATCACGTGGAAGTTTCACAGCGGCCAAATACTCTGAACAATGCGAACGCACGTTTCTACGGACGAGGGGCGCACGTGGGCGCACGCGGACGCGCGCAAAGGCGGAAGACATGCGCAGGTATTGCACACGTCTGCGCACGCACGCACGTTGGGGTGGACGTGCTCTCGGCAGCAATCCCGGTGTTACCGCTAAAGCGCACTCCTCACCGTTCGGCGCGGTGGGTTTGCGATGCGTTTTAGATTACAATTTTATGGGCGTGCCAGATGAAATGATAACGGACGTCTGTTAATGCATTGAAACGTCGCGCTCCCGTAATTCTGAAAACCACGGATGAAAGTTAATTTATTATGGAGGAAGATTATTGTGACAGTCTTGTGTGTTTTTTTCATATTTGTTCAAAAAACTGTCAAGCCCTTCCCAGCCCATCCTAGGGTAGGATTATTGCAACTGATTTGCAAACGAAACTAAAATCCCACGCAAAAAAAAACCAGACCCGCCGAGGAACATTCTGTTGAAAAACTCACATCGTTGACAGCTGGCGTGCCTGAAATAAAAAAAAAAACAACTGCAGCTTTCAGTGGGGTTTGCCCAACATAATTACTGCCATGACTCATCTCCGCGGCACTGGAGGAGCAGGACACGCGGTGTCGTGTGATTGAGAGAATTCCCACACAGGTGAACTGCAACTGACAGCTTCAACGGCAGCCCAGGTGATGGTGCCAAATACATTTTTTCTCTCTCGAATTTCAGATCCGATTCAAATCAAACGATACGACTAAATCATTACCATTATTATAGCACGCACGTGTTTTAAATAATTTCACATTTACCCGTAAGTTTTATTCGATTTCCCCCCCCCCCTCCGCCCAATAAAGCCCACGTGCCGTGTCACAATAAGTGGCGCTATAATTACTGCTGGGACGCGCAGGCATCTGCGCGGCGCGTGATAAACGGCAAGGGTTTGCGATTTTTTTTTTGGCGAGACGGTGTCACGTCGGCGAGAGACCGTCAGGGACGCAGGCGGTGAAGACGGTGGCGGCGGCGGAAGGAGACGCTCTGGGGGCTGGGGGCGCTGCCTGTCGAACATAAATCACTGTCCCTCCGCGTGCGCCTGACCACGCCAGTCGGGGCAATCATCGTCTTGAGCCTCGGCACTCAACTCCCCCGACGCCAAAGAGAACAAGAAGAATAAGAAGATTTTTTTTAGATATGTAATAAAAAAAAATTCAAATCACTCTTCATCCATCTGGAAAGCGCTCAGTCTTCCTTCCTGTTCCACCCTCCCCACCCCAGACGTATTAATTTATTTATTTAAAGCCTGCGAGGATGACCGCCCCTCCCTTTGTCATGTTCGCGTTTGTCCTTCCCCCGGCTGAGTTCATTAATTAAGGCACCTGGCGGCCCGTTACGTATTTTGCCTCCCCTATTTATCTCACCCTTCCTTTTGGTCTTCCTCAAGTAATACGGAGTGAAACGGGAGAGCGTTTTGCCCAATGTGATACTTTTTTTGATTCACAACAAACGCATTAATCATGCGCTACATCCCAGAAGAGTATACTTGAACAGTAGCTGTCCAGCGTAGCTATCTCAGACCCGTGGTGTGTTTTCTCCTGCTTTTGCGTGGCTTTTGCCATATGTTGATAGGCGGAGTTGTAGAGGCAATGGGCAATAGTGAGACAAAGAGAGAGAAGGCCCTACCTGGCAAAGTGTATCAGGCACGGTTGGCAGAGGAGGCGAGAGTTGGGGGTCTGTGCCTTCAGCAGGGCGCTGACAGGCATGCGATAATTATAGCAAGCCTCCCGCAATGGAGGTCGTGTGTTGTACTTGCCTCACGAGTTAACGGGAACGTGGTGTTTATTCTAATTTGCCTCAACTAAATTCTTGAGATTTTGTTTTATTGGTTGCTCTCATAGACGAACGTCCGACGAGATATCTGTTTGGCAGACTGAGTGAGCTGCCTCCGTGCAGATCACCAATTGTGATTGCAATATCTGGTCATGTTTAAATACGCGGTTATATTTAACACCTGCCTTTTTGCCGTTCGGGAACTTTCATTGGCATAGTCCAAAATAGGTTACATATGGCTACAATCGTAAAGTGTAATCATTTTCGAGTTTAGGCCAATAGCATGAAAAAACCCAGTGCCAACCTAAACGGAAATAGATCACCATTGGCATAGAGCAAAATTTTCCAATTAACTAAATTTTGTTCTCATTGTTCAAATTAACATTTATCACAATTTTCAGAAACAGTAATAGTTTTTGGCTGGGATTACTCCTCCAATCAAAAGAGATCTGACAATGATATAATTATTCTAGCCCACACCAGCTGAATTCGTAATTAACGTGCAACTGTAGCAAGCCCACTGACAATGAACACAAGGCAACAACAACAAAAAACACAAACACACAAAAATTATACTTTTCATCTGCTAAAAATAACCCAACATCTGCCAAATAACTTTCCAAAAAATTCTAAATGCGTGAAAAATCCCAAGCATGCGAACAAACGAACACCCACGCACACATCAGTGCTTGTGACATTTAGTTACGGCTCACAGTTGATCTGTTTTGAGGAAAACCCACGGCCGCAAACTTAAACGAGGACCCCAATTACCAAACGATCACACGCATCATTTCAATAAATGGTGAAATGCATCCACACTCCGGCATTTTTTCTACCGAGTGGTAGATTAATTTTACTGCGCGTGCATTCAGCGTTTGCCCGGCTCTATGAGTAAAGTTCTCCGCGTGACATCTGGTGCATTGACCAATTTTATCACTTTCTGAAAACAGGCTGTTCAGGAGAATGGAAATCAATTAAACATGGGGAACATTGAATAAATGCCAGACAATAAACGTGCACTAATAATTCGAATATCCTCCACGGGCTTCCATTTCTGCTCTAATATGCCACTTCAACACAGTTAATGTGCAAATACTGCTGAGGGCTAAACCAGACTTCCCAAAGCCGCAACGCAATAACAATTCGCAAGGCGGCTTCGTCAGGCCAGAATCGGACTGCACTTCAAAGCCATTAACGTCGCTGCCTCGGTCTATTCGACCACTGAGATTTTTTCCTGCGTTGGCTTGGCTCGTTGAGCAGCATCAAGGATTCTTTGACTTCTGCTCGTCCTCACGAACGTGGACGCCGATCTGTCGGTGCGTGGCACGTGAAAGACGAGCCAAGCCCTCCTCCTCCTCTCGCGCACACCCCGAGATCATTCCAGCAATCCCCAAGACTTCGCTTACAGAATTGGCCGCCCCTACATGGCCGGGAACTGGCCTCCGAACGCGTTCTCGAATTTCCCGTGCGCCGCCGTTTCGAGTCACACGACGTGGACAGGTGGGAGGGGTAAGTGTCTTTCGTAAAAAAAGAAAGAAAAAAGCTCAAGCTATCACGCGGCAGATGGGCCCAATGGTTCTTGCGCGAGCGAGCTCTCTCCTGTCCTCATCACTTTTATACGTAACTCGAGTGGCGCTATCTTGGCGCGGGGGTGGGTGGGTGGGGGGGGGTGTTGCTATTTTCGTGTTGTCTCACAAATGACACTCGGCAAATCCAAAAAGAGGTCCGTGCTGTCACAGCAACGGCGACTCTGTTTACCGCCGACGCATCTTCTGGACTGGCCGTTTAGCACAACGAGAATCCCGTCTGTGTGTTCACCGAGGGGCGGCGGGTGGGGGGGCTCCGCGGTCTGACATGGTGGCCCGTTTACCCGGCTTACTGCAAGTCATCGCCGGCAGCGTTTTATCTCTCGGCTGCCGGTTACCGACTAGAATGGGAATTCTCATAATTTAAAGACAATGCTGCATCGCCTACACTTGACTATGTGTGGCCCCCATCCCACATGAGATGCGCCAGGCATCTTATCTGGATAAAATGTAAAGTGTGAAAAACTGTTGTTGCTTGACACACACAAATAGTACAACTTGTTTATGCCTTCCTGTGATCTTTATCTTTACCCAACCACAGCAGCACTGTTTTTAGAAAACCTGGTAAAAAAAATTTTTTGCTTAAAATACCCAATTAATAATATCTCGCGAGACGTCCCCTGTTTGTTACGGGAGCTGTGCCACAGCTGGCGATTGAATCGCTGCTACTGACCACCGTGCGAGGGCCTGCGCCTCCACATGGCCATCACGGACCTGACCAGGCTGCGATGATGTGAAACGGCATGATGATCAGTGAGAAGTTAAAAGTCTGTGTGGACGCATCCAGTAGGGGTGTAACTCCCGACGATTCAATGAATCGCCACGACTCAGAATCGCCAATTCGATTTCCGAATTGTTATTTTTTAGGCTGTAGCGAATTCCAGCTGCTGCAGGGGTTATATGACACACGTGACATTACATAGATACATTCAAACATACTTGAGTTGAAAATATATATTCCTATGCACATGATTCTGTACATGTATTATGAACTCAAAATGGGATTAAACCAAGTCCTCAAGCATAGTAAGTTGATGGTATCAGCCTGGTCACCAATGACTGCACGCACACGCATCAAAAAAATCCTTCACATTAAATTTGGTATTTCACTTAATTTGGCCAAATTCCAGCTCTGAAAATTAATATGTCGGTTTGACTGTCATGCAAAAAAACCTCACTCTCATTTGCACAATGGGTGGGAAGTGCTGGCCTCTACTGTGACCAGACCACAGGTCACTTGAAGAGATCTCCAGAGGTAGCTCTGGGATACTCACTTCCTCGGGGCCGGGGTTGCACTCGTTGCATGACGTAAAT